GGAACCAAATAGTTTCTCTGGCTCAAACGACTGAAGGTCTCGTCAACCATGCCGAAGATGGGCAACCAGTGTTGGATGCTCTTGGAAACATTGACAGCATGCACCTGAAATTGACGTGGTTCTTGTGGGCTGTGAGGTTGGAATCTCTGTGGATCATCGTCGAGCCAAGTCTCGAACGCCCTTCAAGATCTCACTCACCATCTCAGGTGGATAAATACCACTCAACGTCGTGTCTTTGCCTTCGAGAGGCACACATGCTTGCTGTTGTTCTTGGGTGAGTTTGTGCTGCAGTCGTTCTAGAACAAGTGGACAATTGCCAAGGAAGCGATGCGCTTTCCTGATGGGCTGCCCGTTGCGGCTGACAGCTCCATAGGCTCCGGCATGGCAAGCTGCTTCTAACCAAAGTCTGGATGTCAAAAAATTCTCAATCAGCCAGCAACGTCCTTGACGATTTTGCTCCAAACACCATTCAACAACCTTCTTCAAGATCTTTCTGGCCTTGGCTCTCCTCATGTTCAGAAGCACCTTCCGACGGACGTAGTTGACATTGTCCTGGAGGATGGTCCAATCTCGGCAATCGATGCCTTGGATCAAGATCAGCGGACGATTGCGGCTGATCATCTTTTGCACAACTACTTGGTCGGCTTCAGTGGCGAGGTCGAAACCGGTGTTGTAGTCAACGGGTTCAAGAGCTTTGAGGCCAAAACGATGAGCTCTCTTGCTGATGTTGGCTTCTCCAGCAAATGTCTCCGGACCATGAGGCCGTCAAGTGCTGTCGTCACCTTTCTCAGCAAGGTGAATCTGAAAAGCATCAATCTGGGACACAAGCTGTTTGAAATCTACCTTGTTCACCAGCTTATACTCTGTTTCATAGGCCCAAAGTGCTTGCCTGACACGGTGTTGAAGCTTCTTTGACACAGATGCTGATGTGTCTGAGAAGCACTGATTGGACTGAATCTGGAAGATGGTGCGACCAGTCCAAGTTGTCATTCGTGGTGGTGCTGGTGGCCTGACCTGTGTCATACTCAATCTCTACTTTACACACTGGGTGCAACTTCCCCAAAGGACAGAGCAATCGGCCTGCAGAACATCAAAAAGCTCATGCCGTGGTGCCAAGTGGCGCCGAATGCACTGTCCTTTTTGGACCTCCCAGTGATCTTTCTTGTTCACCCGAACGTCCAGTTCGGATAGCGGCCCATGTCCTCGAGATCCGAGTCTGGATTCAAGAACTCCGTGTCCCCCTCGACCATGATGTGATCTCGAAGCCGCGACTGACGGGCTGAAGACATCTGGCTCCAACGATTGTCCTCGCTGTCCCTGTCCTCCCCCGGCCATGGAAGAGCACCAGAGGTCTGCTTGCCCTTCCCTTTGGCCTTGGCCTTCTGCTTGGGTTTGGATCCCTTCATCGATGTCGTGGAAGTGATCCCCGGTGGAATGATGTTCTGCGAGGAAGGAAGTGGCAAGGGCACAGATTGTGATGAGGACCGACTTCCAACCTGGAGCCAACCTTTTTGAGTTGCTTTTTCGCGGAGCTTCTTCAGGCAACGCTTGCATTGAGCGTAGCTGCCGTGCTTGTTTCCGTCTCGACGGAAGTCCGGATGGGCGCAGGTGTTCTGATCGTAGGTCTTGGTCGTCACTGCCACTTCGAGAGCTTGTTCCTCTTTCAAGGTCGTCTGCTCCCAGCTGGTCAGCCATGAGCGTGGACGAAGGCCGAAGCTCACCAAGCGACTCATGCCCGTGAGGCAACGGAACTCCAACAACATGACTTTGGTCACAATCTGTTTCCATGACTGAATCCACTGTGGAGGCAGTCCGATGTTGGGCATTGGAGGGGTTGGAATGATCGAGATCGAGCTGCGCTTTTCGTGCCAAAAGTGCTGGCGCAAACAAAACTTCGGGATCCGGATATGCCAAAGAGAGTCACTTCTCAACTGCTTCCAAACTTCATGTTGCGCCACGTTCGAAGGAAAACAAGTGATCTTCACAGCAATGTGGCCACGCTTGTATTCCAATGGCAACTTGACTCCAAGCACATGAAAATAAACAAAACCCTCAAACATGTTGATTGCGCATCCGAGTTTTTGCAATAACGTATTGCTCGCGAGAAATGGAACGTCTGCGCGAACAACGCTGACTCCCAAAAGCAAACCCTGAGTTTCCTGACCATCCAATGCTGCAGGCATGTAGGCCCGATGCAAGGCTTTCTTCGGACCTCCGGAGCCGAATTGGAAAACATCAGTCGTTGGGGCGGTCTTGACCTTCAGGCGGTACTTGTCCAAAATCTTGGAATGTGGACTCAACCAGAGAGGGCCACAACATGAACGTTGGCATGCAGTATCGAGGACCATGGACCCCGAGAAATCAACCAACTCTGTTACATAGTTGGTGTGCTCAATGTGCAGGTTGTAGGTGTTCACAAACGTGAAAAAGGAAGCCGGGGCATCGTCGTTGGAGATCTCATTGCTGGGCTCATGGTGGGCTCCAGATTGGGCTTCATGATGTTGGTCAGGGAAACGAACCGCAGAAGACCTCTTGTATGATGAGTGAGAAGAAGCGCCACCTTTTCCATCTCGCGACTGCTGTTGTCCACGGCCTTTGCTACTGGATTTGCCAGCGTCTGCCGACAAAGAACAAGCTGCGTCGCCCTTCCAGTGTCCCATCTGGCCGCGAGCAGTGCATGAAGATGTCTTCTTTCTCTCTTCTATGGTTCGAGGACGTCCTGAGAATTTGCGCCCAAGTACTGTCGCTTGCAACTTCTTCGAAGTAACGGTGAGCACTTGGGCGAGTTCTGCCACTGCATCTGACACTTCGGTGTAGGCAGCGGTATCTTCCTGATCAACTGAGTCATCTTCAGGAAGCTGTTCTTCAGCCTCTTGAAACTCTTCTGCGTTGTCAGCCTCAGCTTCATCACACAGATCGTTTGGCTCCTCTTCGTGGATATCGGGCAGGTCATCAGGCTGCAAAAGCTCGTTTGTGGCTGCTCTTGCCATACCTTTGCTTGACTTGCCAGAGAAGCTGCTTGCCATTGAGGAACCGGTCGAAGATGATGAAGCGTAGGTTGAAGCTGAGTCACTGCTATTATTGCTACCATGTCTACCCGGGATGTCCAATACGATTTCCTCCACCGCTGTAAAACACAGGCGGTGCCGGACGAAAGTCCGGAAACTGAAGGCACAGAGCATTCTGGATCTGCTCATAGCGCAGGGAATTTCCAGCAGCGATGATCACCAATCTCTGCATGTCTGGGGCCAATTGGCGTTCCAGAAGGCGGTTGCCCTTGCTTTCAGAATCATACATCGATGCGGCGGTGATGCCACTGGCCTCCAGGTCTTTCTCGATTCGACGATATCCGTTGAAATATTGCCTGATGGATTCACCTTGTTGTCGAGCAACCGTCTCGTATGAAGACAGAAGGTTCCGCTTCTGAAGCAACTGCATTTGTTGCAGAGGCGCAAAACATGTAGCGGATGCCGTCCCGATGGTGCACACGCTCCAAATCAAGATGCTCAACTTCAAGACTGCTTCGCCGCTCAGTGACGTCATCAGCATCAGGGCAGCGTCAGCCTCACTCATGTATGGCCTAATCTGAAGGCGCCAAATCTCAATGCGGCGTTCCCATCGAGCATTGACCTGAGGCTTCCAAGATGGCGGGGAAGGCGGGGTGCCTCCTCGCCATTTGACATGTCGTTCGGGGCCTTGTCGGCTGTTCGAGGAATCTGCACTTGACCCTCTGGACTTCTTGTCCTTGTCTTTGACAATTGTACGAAGTGCTTCCAGGATTTCCTTGGACATATGGGCTCATGCGGTGTCTCTCTCGTTGATGTCTGTGGCCTCTCCGCGGCTTGAACTCTCGCACGAGTTGGCTGATCCTCAGGGCGCTGTCTACGACGTCTTCGTCTGGAAGGTAACGGTTGCAGCGTCTCGGGATCAACTGATGGGTCTTGGGCGTCAGTCTCACTTTCTGGAAACTCTCCATCCTCCTGACTCCAGGCGGGCGGCTCCGGCTTGGGCCTTGCCGGCAAGGAATGTACCGGTGAAGGCTGACTATAGGTCCTGACATTGGGCGTCTCAGCCGGAGAGGAAACATTGGGCACATAGATCCATGTTCCACGCGGTGTCAGTTGCTTGCGAGGGCGCTTGGTGTTGTACAGCTCAGTACTACCACACCTATAACATACCCAACTATTCAACTCATCCGACCAACGATTCACCAACGCAGAGCTTTTGAAACACTCCCAAAGCTCCCCTGTCTCACACGCGTTTTCCGGTTCTGATGCAGCCGAACCCGATTCAGAGGCACCCCATGCTGGCGCGTCAAAGAAAGGAGGTGTGGCAGTAGCAAAGCGGGCAGGGTGCACGGAGTCTTCGGATTCAGAGGGAAGCGGTGGATATAAATGATCAACATCGCCAGCATCCGAACCTATGTAAACGCGAGCCGGGCCCCGCGGCCAACTCATCGTGGTGTGTGTGTGTGCAAACGATACACCAGATCAAGCATGAAAACAAACCATGGCGGCGCACGGACTTTTCACGCAAAGGGCAAATCGCTCAAGGTGGCCAACTGCGGAAAGAACTGACATCGAAGCAAGGTGCACGACCGAACAGTGAATACTAGTATGTATATAAATGAATCTATACAGCTATGAAAGTGGGAGAGAAGCGACAAACAAGTCTGCCGAGAACTATGTACTTGCCTTTTGTTCTCAAGCAAAATGGAAGAACCGCTCTGCAGCGTTAAAGTCAACCAGGTACGTGGTTGAGCGTTCCCAATCACTTCCCTTCGAGCGACCTAGCTTCGTTGGACCAGGTCAGTCACTTGAAGCCCGATCCCCTAGCTAAAAGTCCGAAGGGAACCAACCAACCAACCAACCAGCCAGCCAGCCAGCCAGCCAGCCAACCAACCAGCCAGCCAACCAACCAACCACTGGCAAATTGCTATAGTACGTGATCTTACAAGAAACGTGAAAGAAGCATAATGCGGAATGTGCGCTCTTGGGCGCCTAAACGTCTGCAAAGATCAGATGCGAAGTGATTGCAGTTGCAGCGGATCAAATGGTAGCTATTCCCTGGATACCTCGCGCGGTTCAGGTTGCAAGCTCTGTACTTTTTACCAAGAACTCTTCCTCTCATTCTGCTTCTCCGTCCTTCTCTACACACACCTTTGAACACAACAAAAATGGACCCGTCGACATGTCAAGAAACTCATCAACCATTGACTCCAGGAGCTTGGCCACCTCTGTTCTCGACAAAGTTGTTGTACCCAGCACAAGGGTCTCCTCAGCTTGGAAGGACAGCGAGCTTGGGCAGCCAAAAAGTGAATGAATGAATGAATGAATGAATGAAATGAATCCAGCTCGCGCAACTCCCACTCCAACTGTCGCAGGGCAACCAAGTGCAAAATCTATAAAACGATTTCTTGATGCAAACGGGGAGACTCTGGAGTGCGAGTCCGCCATCAACGTGTGACAAAACAAGCCAGGCTGAGTCACCACTGCCCACATGCAACAGGCGTCCATGATACACGTGCTTACCGGCAGAAATGGAGGGGCATGCAGCAAGGAGGAGGTGGTGGGGGCCTTTAGGCATACCAAATATGAAAGGTGAGAGGGCACCAATAAAAACCCAAAGTTGCAGTACAAAGCTCAGGACTTGCTGTCAAGGAGCTCTAAAATTGTGTTGGGGATGCTGTCGAGGGCTTGAACAATGCACCCCCGAGCCCACTGGCGCATAACCTGCAAGCCCCAGAACCGACATCTTGAGAACAAATTAACAAATGAAATTGAGCTGTGTCAGCGTGGATCTGAGAACCGTTCACAAAGCGGCTCTCACTGATGCCACTAATGCCAGCAAGTCTCCAAAGGACCACTCCTTTCCTCCAATCTCAACTCCAGCATGAAAAACACCGCCGAACTTGAATGGTGACATCGGATGGGCAAGGAACACGTTCAAGTTCTGAATGCCTGGAGAGTGTATGTGAGCACTGCTTCTGATGAGAGCCGTCTGCGATATATGCGCTTCACACTGGCAAAATGTTTGCACGCGGCTCAGTTGCTTGACTCGTGCGAGACGTCATAAATATTTAGCTTGACCTCGCCAGTCAAGCATGCAATTGGAACACCCTTTCTACATGTTCCTGACATCTTGTCACGGGGTCTTGGCCCCTCGTTGGACTGTTGGACAAGCCCGATCCCTGATCCAGCCGGCCAACATTTCGAAAGAGCAGTCGATTCAGGGTCGATCAGCATCAAAGGTATTTGAGGAAAATCTGAATGTCTGCCCTTGCTGCCGAGAGGCAACGCCCCCGCGACTACCTCTGCAGCCTCACAGGAACAAACATGCCTGACCGCCGGTACCAGCTCAACTCTTTTGGCTTCATCCATCACATCCGGCTTCAGTTAGCAAGATGATCCAAGAATCGAGGGGACGTGCAATCCGGGAGGACTTTGAACGGGACAGTCAGGGACACTCAAAGCCACCAAGTTCGAGGCAGCCACTCAAGGACACACTCAAGGATGTCCGTGAGTGTCCTTGAGTGTCTGGTCTTTTTGGATAACCTTGAGTGTCCTTGAGTGTCCTTGGGCGCCTGGTCATTTTGAACGACGTTGAGCGTCCTGAAGTGTCCTTGAGTGTCTGGAGTGTCCTTGAGCGTCCTTGGGCGTCGTCTAGCTTTTCTTTCAGACGACCTTGAGTGTCCTTGAATGTCTTGAGCGTTTGCTAGTGTCCTGGCTCAGACTTGTTTAAGTGTCTTCAAGTATCCGTGAGTGTTTGCTCAATGTTCTGAGTCACTATGTTTGAAGCTTCCCTGGATGTCCTTTAGTGTCTATGATCTACACTTTTATGTTTCTGGCTCTGGCGTCCCTAGCTGCGGCATCCTTAGGAGTACAAACTCCAACAAAATCCGGGAAACCTTCGCAGGACTTAGTGGCAAGCCTTTTTTGGATGATGCACTAGCTTTATAAGGATTTTTTGCACCCACTCTATTTCCGCACACACACACACAAACCCTCCATTGTGGGGAGGGCAACGGTATTCCTTCTGGTTTGCGAAACATTGATCGAGACCATCGCTGCTGGATATGTCGTGGCTCATACACGGATCCGGATATAAGGTAGAGAAAGTTCATAGAAACTTAGGGACACGCTCCATTGTTTGAAAAAATCGTTGGAAGACAAGTGAATGAAACCTGAATGTTTTGGCACAACACTCTAACTCTTGAAGTGTCAGCACGATCGTAGCTGTTCCTGGGCCAGCAGCAGACGCAGTCTGGGAGCCAAGTGGAGGGCTGGCGTTCGTTGGTTGAGCGCCGGTCACACATGCAGTGATAGCAAGAAGACCAATCACAGCAAAATTGCCAATAGAAAATGGCCTTGTGAGCTTGTGGTTCTTTCGCATGGATCCGATGTTACAGACATTATTGTATTCCAAACAGCACACCTAACCTGGATACATGCTTGGCTGCAGAGATAGCAAGAAAATGCATCAAGTCGAAATCAGAGATGCCTTGAATCCCACGCAACCTTGAAAATGGCCCTGTAAGGTTGTGGTTCTTTTCGTGGTGTTCTGCAAGTGTTCCTTCTGGGGCCGTTTTTGATCCAACACCAGACCTCAATGTAAGGATTATTTGTGTACCCAAACCGCAAACAACCAATACAATACACATCCACTTGCCTGGACATGGATGCGCTGGCGCTGTCGAAGCAATCACTGGACCTATTGCGCATGAGGTAACAGGAGTTATACGTGGGACATCTATCTTGAAGCGTGGAGAAACCAACCTTGATTCATCCCATTTTCTGTTTTGTTACTGCAGAAGGCGTGCTCTGACCCACTCCTTTTACACTCTACCTGAGGATATTTGACTCGCGCAAACTGCCATCGGGAAGGTTGTAGCGAGGGCTTGCCTTGTGGCGGCGCATGGCTTGGATGAGCAGACTATCCGAAGCATGGGAGAGGCAACGCAAGAGCCACATAGAAGACAGACTAAGCTACGCAACTCCTCGGCTTCGCGCGCGAGTCCGCGTGAAGCTACGTGACACAGAGGGCAACTACAATGTCCGCAGCGCGAAAGACTTCAGGAGGGAACTCCGGCGCATCATCCGGTGGTACAAACAGCGCAGACGGACAACAATGCTGCGACGGAGGAAGGTGCTTCGCAAAAGGCAGCAAAAAATCATTCAAGGCAAGGCCGGTGTCCTCAGCAAGAAGGTAGCTGCAGGCTAGGTTTGAAGGGGCGATAGAATAATAGGACGCATAGTTAACTGAGCGGGCGTGCTAAGTTTGAGAGAGCTGACCAGCGCCACACTGCTTTGCTACACGTTAACATCTCTGCAGCCCCGTACAAAATATTGAGCGCAGCCGGCCGACTGACAGGTCCCATGGCATGAATCGAGGTGACAGTGGGGCAGAGAGTGTGAGTCTCGGCGGCTGGCCGGCCAGATGTGTTTAACTACAATGTGACCTTCTTCAGCGCACTTGAAAGCACTAGGGTCTGAAAGAAGTTTGTTTGGATGGAGCCGGCCAGCTCCCAGCGTTTCTTGACTCTTCAGCGAGATGGCACGTGGAGGTTGGGGACGCTGCTCCGACAGGGACCGAACAGCAGGCAAGAGCTGGACGGCGCGGGCTGGATGCAAGAGTGGCAAAAGAATCAAGGGATGCGAAAATCCTGCGAGCCTCTTGCAAATGTTCATTGTCTCTTTCATGGGTCAGCCGGAGAAGTAGTAGTGACAACGACATGAATGAGTGGATTTCTACGCAGAACACTTGGATGGTGGAGGAGTCAAGCAGCGAAAGTTAGCAAACGTAGAGTTTTACTGCCCCTGCCCAAAGGGCTTTTTTCCCGGGCCTTTCGGTGTTTCACATTAAATCTCAAGCCTTCCAATTTTGAACTGCCGCTCATTTCGGCCCATACCCTAAGAATGAACAAATCATCTTGCCCGTCACCAGAAAGCTGGTAGGATCGGAGCATGCTTTTGGCAGCAATGGAATCGGTGGCTGCCGCCCTCCTGTCTGACAAAAAATTCAATCCAGACGCCGCGCTCTCGCAAAGCTGTTCTGAAGCCTTGATAGGGCCAAGGCTGTGGAAAAGGAAAAACACATCTCCGCAATGCGAAGGCACAAGCTTCTCTCATCCTTGCGCAGCAAGCGCCGCGCATTGGCCCACTGGCAACGATATTGCGCGCGATCCACTGTGACTATGGCTCCCTGCAGTGGCGAGGGCTTGGCTTTGCTGTTGGGTCGGCACGAATCACCTGCCTGCCTCAGGGTCGCTCAAAGAAGGCGTTGCAAATTACAACTGGACTACTGGCTACCTTAGAAAAAATTACAAATCTTACCCTCTTAATAATTAGTGGGGCCCTCTTGAACAGCACTGTTGGCACAGCGACACACAGCGCTGACCTCACAAATCACTGCACCTGCGCAGCAAAATCATCCTTCACACTTCGCAGGGGTTCGCAAAATCACCCCTGCACCAGCTCGAAGGGATGCCTTAGCTCGAAACATGCTTTATGAGCCAGCATCTGTGAATTTGCCGTTAATGTTGGTTTCTCTGGCGGCTTCAGTTTCCCTGTCGTTCCATGTTTCGGGCCGACATGCAGTGTTGAAAAGGGGCATCTGAAAGCGGCGGCGCTGGAAACATAACAGCTTTAGAATCACAGAACACATGACAGTTTTCAAATGGAGGCGCGACAATCGCCTCCAACACGCTGCCATGCAGCGGCTGGAGGCCCAAGCGCTCTTCGCAACCCTTGGTCACTTGGTCTTGCAGGCGGTCCATCTCAGCCCGAGAAAGCGCCAAAGTAGTACATTCTGCTAACCTCAGGAAGGGTTCGAAAAAACGAGAGGTGAGCAAAAGCCTATAGAGCCCAAACGGCAACAGTGGTAGTACAGTGGCGTGTTGCACCCCAACCGCAGACCACTGACTCCCAGCCCTTGAGGCCCTGACTCCAGGTCCGGCTGCCGGGCTGCCCATCTCGCGGCGGCCGCCATATTGGACCTAGCCCAAATTGGGTCTGAAGGTGTCTGAGTTTTAGAGTTTAGAACGCTTTCTGACATTCTCGGGCGGGCTTGGAGGAACCCTTCTCAGCTCGAGAGCGCGACCGGAAAACGACTCAGACCCGGCAAGGATGATACATATGCTGGGTATGGCTTTATACGCTCAACCTTTTGGTCATGGGATGCCACCAAAAACAGCGAGAACCCTGAAGAGGCCGTGCATAAACAAGGCCCCCACGCAAACACACGACCGTTCGCAAATCTAAACCACGGTGTTGCAAAAAAGTTTGCCGCTCCAGGTGACAAACTTTTTTTGGCACACGGACAACAACTTCAGTCTTTCAGGTCTGACAGCTCTTTATCAAAGATTTTTATCAGACTTCGCATTACTAATTCCAACGAGACTTGGTCTCGTTACGGAATCCTGTTCGCTGCAAAGGAAACCTTGTTTTTAGGCACGTTTCCAAAAAATGCAAAATTCTGAGGACACCTTTTCCTCGCGCACAGCATTTCCCGTCCCATACTAAAGACATTGTGGGCGAAAGCTTCTAGGACTAGGAACCTCTAGGAGAAACGCACACGCAGGACGCAGGATATCAAAACCTGTAAGACACTCGTGTTGCGGTGTGCTGTTGTGAGTTGTGGGCACTTTGCAGACAAAAATCAAAAAGTCTCAAATGCAGCAGTTTCTTTGCCATACTCGCATACTAAATACATCTGAGATCTGGGGCGGAAACCCTTGGGAACTCATAGTAGGAGCGCGCATAATATGGAGGCGTGTAGTCTGTAGGAAACTTTTTACTGTGTTGTGTTGTTGTGGAAAACTTGGTCGCATCTCATCGCACAGTCTGCAGCGTTATGTTTTTTTCTGCCACGAAGACGGACGCCAGACTTTGTCTGA